ATTAAAAACAAAAGAACATTTGCAACATGGTCAGAAATTTCCAATAGTGCAAGATAAAAGGGAAAACCCAGGCTTTAACTCGGGAATCAAAGAGTCCTGCATTCATAAATCCGGGCTGCACCACCTCACCAACTTTGTTCAGTTTGAGCAAGAGTCTAGACTTCATTTTACTCATCTGTAAAATGGGAACAACAACAACTGCCTCATAGAAGCTGCAGGTAAAGCACTTAACACAGGTGCAGACATTACTAGTGAATTTACATACAGAAACCTGGTGCCTATCGAGTCGATTCAGACTCATAGTGCTCATAGTAGACAGAGTAGAACTAGCCCAGAGGATTTCCAAGACTACAAATATTTACAGAAACCATGGCACATTTTTCTTCCACAGAGTGGGAGATTTGAACCACCTACCTTCAGGTGAGCAACCCATCGCTTAAAACGCGCCCCCCACCCCCACCGGGCTGCGGCAGTGAACTTGTTCTTGTTAGGCGCCAGGGAGTCAGTCTCGACCTGATGCACAGCAGAACGAAATGCTGTCTGGTCCTGCGCCATCCTCACAATTGTTCCTCTGCCTGGGCCCATTGTTGCGGCCACTGTGTCCATCCATCTCATTGAGAGCCCTCCTTCCCCCACCGTCTCCCCCCACTGCCCCTCTACTTTTTTTTTTTTTACCTGGGAACACCAGGTTTATTAATATTTAATAAGGGGGAGGAAAGGAAAGAATGAAGGGAGAGGGCAGTCCCTTGGCCCTCCCTTGGTAACATTGCACAAAGTCTCCAAGCCTTTGCCCTTCCAGGTAGGTGGGGAGGTGGGCGCGCAGAAGGGGGCCTTGGTTGTAGCAGAAGGCCGAGGAGGAGGCAGAGGACACGCAGCATTCCTCCTCCCTCACGGCTCACGGACCAACTGCACGTCTCGCAAAGACCTCCACGGCAGGCTCAGACGTCAATGGGCTCCCGGCCTGGGTTCTGCCTCTTCACCACAAACACCCTCTGTCCCGACACGGTCACCTGCAGAGTGTGTTCTCCAAAGACCACAGACAGGCGTTTAAAGGGCCTGTTCATGCCGTGGTGCAGTCGGAAACCACACGCAGTGCTGACCAGTTCAGAGATGGCGCTGGCTGCTTGCTCATCGTTCTCTAGGTCCCCAGACGACGCCAGCACCGCGCCTTCACTCAGCACCAAGTGGCCCAGCAGGTCTGGGATCCGCTCCAGCCCCTGGGTCAGCGCAGAAGTCATCGCAAGCTTTAGGTGCTGGGGGGGTCTCCCCACCACAGTTTCCGACAAGCGCCCCAAGTCATGTCGCCCCTCTACTTTACCAAACAGGATGTCCTTCTTCAGGGTTGGTCTCTTCAGAAAACATGTCCAAAGAATGTAAGACAAAGTCTCGCCATGCTGACTTCTAAGGAGCACTCTGGCTGTACTTCTTCCAAGACAGATCTATTGGTCCTTTTGGCAAGCCCTGGTTCTGCCACTGTTCTTCCCCAGCACCACAATTCTTCTTCGGTGCTGCTTGTTCCTGTCCAACTCTCACACGCATGGGAGGCAATTGAAAATACCATGGCTTGGGTCAGGCGTGCCTTAGTCCTCAAAGGAAGCGTCCTGTTTTTCAACACTCTAAAGGATTTCCTCGATGCAACACATCATTTGTTCTCTTGGCTGCTGCTTCCACGAGCCTTGATGGTGGATCCAAACAAGACAAAATCCTGGACAACTTCCATCTCGCCTCCATTTTTCATGATGGTTCCTGATGGTCCAGTTGTGGGGATTCTGGTCTTCTTAACAATGAGCAGTAATCCAGACTGAAGGCTGCAGTCCTTGATCTGCAACAGTAAAAGTTGGGAACTTTCTGATTTTTTTTTCTCATTCTTTTGACCTTCCGGAAGCACACAGTCAGTCTTGGCTCAAAGGTGAGGTTAGCAGTAATACTGCCAGTGTCACCTCTGAGACTAAGTGTGTGTGTGTGTGTGTGCGTGCGCGAGCTAACCTAAGCAGCTTGAGAGATGGGACTCTTCCCCCAGCGGCTACTCTTTTCCAAAACGACACGGCTGGATGGTCCAAGAGACTGGTCAAGGTCTTGAAGCAGAGACTGGATGGAAAGGACCGGATGAAGGCATCTCCTTTTTCTGTTCTCTCAATGAGAAAAGGCTCTCCAGGGGAGGGAGTTTCAGAAACTGCCAAGAGCAACGCCCTTCCTGCCACCTCAAAAGGAGCAGTGGCGGCGCATGGATTAAGCGCCAGCTGCTCACCGCAAGGTCGGCGGTTCAAACTCACCATCTGTAGGGCTGGAAACAGGTAAGCCAGTTCCAGTCTTGGAAACCCCAGGGAGCAGTTTGGTTGGGTGCTTCGAGAGCGCTCCCCGCCGCCAATGCCCTGCTCAGCATTGCCCTTCGCCCCTCAATGCCTGACGGGACCCCGTTTCCTTCCACTAGCTCGGAATCCTCTCGATCCAGTCCTGTGTTCTCTGCCTCAGTTTCCCAGTGTCCTCTTTAATCTTATCTCCCCTTCTCTCCTTCAGATTCCCTTT